AAAGTACCTAGACTAATACACCCCCAGCAGCGCTGTGAGAGATAGATAAGGTTTCTGCTCCCGTAAAGACTGACAGCCTCAGATACCCAAAGGAGCAAGTCCTACTCTGTCCTGGAGGGTCACGACGAGCCGCCATCACCTTGATGGCGGTGGGCTGCATGTTCGGTTCCTGGCATCTTGGAAGCCCTAACCTACAAAATCTTGGGGTTACTCCTAACAACATATCCCATGGTAAGACAGTGAAAGGGGGCACAAGTAAGAAAACGTTTTGACCCTTGCTAATTTCACACTTATTCGTAGCACTTACATCTCAAACAGAGTTACGGAAGTAAACCATGGGATGCAGGATGAGAAATCTTACACTAATCTTTCTGTTCACGCACCATCATTAGCAAAAAAGAAAAAAATGGAACATTTACCTGTCTACAATACAGCATAGTGAGCTGGTCTAAGTACACAGACGTAACTAGAAGCATACATTAGGAACGTGCTCAGGTTTAAGAAACATAAATGGCTATGCATCACCGGCCCCTGGGGAATAAAAAATTCAAGATGTAAGCATGTTTAAGTTTCTCATCTCAGCTAGAGCCATGCCAAATTCACACTTCCCCGCAAAATAAATGAGGTACTAAAATATTGATGCTGATTGCAGCAACTTTAAATTGTTCCAGAACCTAATTTAGAACAAAGTATATGAAACCAAGCCAGTTACTGTCAGAGTCAACTTGCAGTGACGGTACATGAGCACGACCTACATACAGGCAGCTCTCCTTAGCAGTGCAAGGGTAGCTACGTGGGGGGTCCCACTGGCCAAGCCTGCCTGCTAACCCCAAGGCTGCAGGATGGACCCCCCCAGCACAGCCTGCCAAGCCAGGCCTGGCCAAGGGCTTCCGAAAGGGCTGTCTGGAAACTGCCCTGCAGAGGTTCTACCCTGCACACAAGGGTCACCACTCTGGACGACAGGCCATCACAACTGTGCTGTCAGAACTCCTGGGGCCCTTTTAACATGCAGTTCTTAAACCCCAGGTCCCTCAATCTTAAACCCCC